TTTGCAAAGACGTGTTGCAACTCTATGTTGATGCTCAAAGCTGGATCTTGTGCTGCTTCTTGAGACAGGAGCAAGCCATGCAAAATACAGATTTAATGTGTGGGAGGATGGTGAGGAGGGGGACAGAAAGGTGGGAATAGGCCACTAAAGTGACTTGAAGTCTTTCTTGTCACCAGTCCCAGAGCAACCTTGGTTTCCTCACTGTTGCCTGAAGAAGCTGGAGGATGCAGCCTCTCCTCCCTGCAAGGGCTGTTTTCTGCAAATAGATGTTAACAGCCTTTTCCCTGGCAAAAAAAGGCACAAAGTGACCAAGTTCCTTCCCCGTGCATGGACTCCTCACCCCTGCTAAATCTGAATTATTCACTGCAGGATGCAGGACCAGCAGCCCCTGCCCTTCCAAGAGAGCTTTTCCCTCCAGAGCCATGCACTGCAGCCGGGGCCCAGAGTGGAGCCCGGGCGCTCAGTGGTGGGTCCAGCCTGATCTTAGCTTTGCGGTGGGGAAAATAGAATTTAAAAATGCATTTTAGGAGCAGACAGGGTTGGGTTTGCTTTTGCTTCACCCCAGAGGGTGAGGCTGATAATCACACCTTTATAATGCCAGCGCCTTCTGGATCACTGTGATTCAACATAGGGCACATTTTAAACAAAGTCAGTAAGCCCTGGCTCCAAATCTCTTTTTCCTTCAGTTCACACTAGCGAGCCCAGGCCCCATCCAGCAAGGACTGTTTGGTTTCTTTCGGTTTCCTGCAGCACAGCAGCTTTGTGCTGGATTCGTGGCTGCTTTTGCCAGCTCGTGGCTGTGTCACCAAGGCTCAAACCTGGACCCGGGGGACCAAGGAGGAGATGGATGAGGTCGGGGGAGAGGATGCGAGATGTCTCGGGGGGTACCTGTGCTATTCACAGAATCACAGAATCTTAGGGGTTGGAAGGGACCTCGAAAGCTCATCCAGTCCAACCCCTGCCAGAGCAGGATCACCCAGACCAGGTCACACAGGAAGGCATCCAGGCGGGTTTTGAATGTCTGCAGAGGAGACTCCACAACCTCTCTGGGCAGCCTGGTCCAGGGCTCTGTCACCCTCACTATAAAGAAGAGACGAGTGTGCCAGGCTTTCCAGAGCACACTGAGATGTGAAGGTCAGTGCTGGAGTTTTTATCGGCCTGCAAGGCCTGGCCAGAGTGTGGCATCCCCAGGGCGAGACGGCTGAGCTCGTCTGTGGTGTTTGCAAGGTCCGGAGGCCAAACGCTCTCGGCCAGCAGCAGGGACCATGTCTAGAGGTGCCGGTCCCTGTGCACAGACACCTCAGAGAGGGAGCTGGGGTGTATCAAGGGGCCTGCATCTGCTCCCAGGTTCGTGCTGCCACCCACAGCCCACACCTGCCATGGGTAAAGCTCTGAGCACCCATGACCCACAGCTTGTGCCCACGGTGACCAGGGCACAAACGCTGGCTGCTTGTAAATTGGGATTTTTTTTGGTGTCAATAGAATTTAAAAGTGTTGCCGCTTTCTTTTTATATTTTTCTTTCCACCTTGTCATTTCTGTTGAATTTGGAAGTGATGACAAGACTTGTGTTCCTTCTAGGTCAGGAGAGTTTAAAATAAACCCAAAATGTATAGCAGGTGCGTTCTGCTCAGCTTTCCGGGACACAGCTGGTGATGAGGGTCCTGCCCCAGCCCCACAGTCCCCCTGCCCCCTCCCAGGAGCCCTGTGCGGATCCATCCCTGCCTGCCCCAGCAGACGCCATCCCCCAAAGCCTCCCCGGCTCCCTCCCAAAAATGGAACCGGCAGCTTTTGTC